AGTTTGAAAGCCACGTCCTCACCACACACTACTTCACGTACCCATGATCACAGTCCATCTTGTTCATAATACCTGCCACTACCTGAAATTATGCTGTGCGTTTACTTCCTTATTGTAACTCCTTATTAGAACATAACCCCTTCTGAGCAAGGACTCTGTCCGCATCTACCATTGGAAATGGTAATCAAAAGGCACTCGATCAACGTTTGCTGACTGAATGAGTCCAAGTCCCAGGCCTCTACCGAACGCAGTACCTGGTAATCGTCTTCTTCATCTTCACTCTCATCTGAGTCTAAGGATTTCTTCTCCTTTTTGGGGTCACCTGCAGCCCCATCTCCACCTTCTTCTCCTTGTTCCTCTTCTTCCTGTTTCAGAAATGGACAACCTGCAAAATCAAAAATGCACAAACCCCCTAGACTGTGACCCCTGCTCCCATCACCTCCAGACTGTGGACCCAGAGAAATTAAGCCCCAGAAGGCTGGGACCAAGTAGGAGAAGGGTCCTACTCTGAGACCCTGGCTCCTAGTAGGGGACCTGGGTCAGAGGCAGCCTATCTACTCGGCTCCACAGCCTGAAAGCCATTCCCACAGTCCAACCTGGGGGGAAGTTCATCTCCCAGAGTCAGAAAAACTCAGCTGTGGGGCTGGAAACCACAGTCCTGCGCAGCTCCCCTCCTGCTTCCCCAGCTGCCACACGCAGCTGCCAAATCCTGAGCCAGTCCTCCTCTGCTTTCCACTCCCACAGTTAATGGCAGGCCAGCCACTCCAACCTGCCCATGCAGAGGCCTTGCTGCATTGGCTTCCTAAGACAACACCCAACATGCCACTTTCTTCCACTTTTCTTGCTTCCCACCAAAACTATTCCTAACAAAAACAGTAGGTCCTTCCCCCTTAGCACTTGCCCACACATTCTCCAAGGTTCTGTTTAGCTGCCCGCCCCTCCGTCAAGCCCTCTTCCCCTCTCTCCCAGAACATGTGGCCCCTCCCTTCTAGGGGCTCCCAGGCACTTCACAGCTGTGTCACTCATCGGGCCTGACTATGCTCTTCTCGGCCCTTATCCAGGAGCAGATCTAATGGTGTAGTCAGGGATGTGGACATCAACGATGATGGAAACATTCTATTTCCTGACAATAGGCTGGAAAAAACACTGCAGGAACAGAGTACAGTGAACTACTAAGCTCAGACTAGAGGCGGAAGGGTGAACAGCGTCAGTGAGAGTCACAGAGAAGATGACGTTCGGCAAGGCCTGGAAAAACGAATAGTACTTTGCCTGCTGGGGGTGTGGGAAGGCAGGGCATCATGTCATGCTGGGTCTGGCAAGAGGTCTGGCATGGCTATAGCAAACAAATGGGGACTGCTGGGAGCTTGAGCCGTGGATGGGCTGAGCCTGGCGGAAGGACAGCTCCCAGAAAGCAGGAACACAGGGCCAAGAACAGAGACCCACTAAGGCAATCACCGCTAAAAGAACAAAGTTCTAATTGATTCAATCAGAAGATGGCTCTCCTCTTCACTGTTGGTTATTCTGGGACACCTGCCTGCTGTCCATGCCCCACCCCCACCCCGAACCTCAGGTGCTGGCTTCTTCCTAGGAAATAGGTGGTCTTTGCCTGGCCTCTCTGGATGCCAAAGAGGCAGGAAACCACCCTGGGCCACTCCAGTGGCCTGGACAGGCACGTACTCACCCTGGCCTTCTGCTTCTCAGCCTGGAGCTGTGCGTCGATCTCCTCAGGGCTTGTGTACTGCCTTGCCCGGCCTTTGTGGCCTCCCTTTCTCCCTGCACAAAGATTGGCAGTTTAGGAAGGTGGGAGGGAATTGGCTTCCTTGATTGCCCTGAGCCCCAGGGGGCTGTGTCCTGCTTGAGGTGCTCTCATCAGAGGCTGCAGAGTCCTCCCCCACCCCTCACCCAGCACCACCCAAACCTATACTCTCCTACCTTCACATGTTCAAAGGGACCAAAGGAGCAACATGTGACCACCTGAGGCAGCCCCAACTGTGTGCTGCATGTAGCTTCCTACAAATGAGACCCAAGGGGAGGATATGGGGGAGGGCACACCACACATAATAACTGGCCAAATCCCATGGTCCCTTAGAAACCAAACACAGTGCACCCAAATGCAGTCAGAACATGTAACACTCACATCCTGCTGTGACTACAGTGGTTTTTAAATGTTCTGTCACAGTCATCCACTCATCTGATCCTCAGAATAAACCTATGAGGAGTCACAGCTGGTCCTGCTCTGCGGACAAGACACTTAAGATTCAAATCTCAGCTCTACCACTTGCTAGCTTTTGGCAGGTACTTAACCTCTGAGTCTCCGTTTCTCCATCTGTGTTCTTATCTTCTAGAGTTTTCAGGTGAACGAACTTAACATGTGTAAAGCTCTTGGAGCGGTGCCTGGCATTGAATAAGCACTACAGAAACATACGCTACATTTGTTATTTTTCTAATAGAGTATTTTGGCAGGAGGAAAAAAACAAAGCCACTGACCACATCAGTGATTTACTGTAAATGTCAGAGATATAATAAAATACTTCACGTTCACCTAAGTGGTATGGTAGAAAGAAAAAACCTAAAACCTACTGAAAACTTTCTTCTGCTTGGAGTAAGCAGCATAGCCGGCAAAGTTAAAGTTGAGAAGGAAGCCGACTACCTTCTAACAGTTAAAAATGTGACTGTAAATTAAACTCATCTAAGAGTATCAGTTTTACAGTCTGACCCTCTTGAGCGAAGACAAAAGACTGACTCCTGCTAAAGCCATCAGCCAGTTTTACAGCAGGATGGCACCTGCTCTGCTGGTCCTGGAGGATGCTGGGGGTTGTGGCCTCAATCCATCCCCACCTCTTCTGGAAGCTTCGGCCCAGCTGACTTCCAGAGAGTGTCTCACTGAGTGTAGAGAATCTGTAATTAGACAGCCAGGGCTCCTCTGGACTCCAGAGCCAGGAGCAGAGAAACCAACCTCCTCTTATTTCCTAGACAGCAGCTGCAAAGCTGTAATTGGGCTGCTACAGACTACACCACCCATTTTTAATGACTACCTGGGTTCCCAGGGGTGTCTCAGTCTATGCTCATGAAAGTCCTATTTTGAGAGATCAAGCCTACCGCTTAAAAAAAAAAACAAAAACAAAAACCAACACCCTTTCTTGCCCTCTTAATATTCCAGGCAGTAGTCAAAACTCAAAACTGGCTACTATAGGCTCTCATCCAGCACACCTGGCTAGGGGAGACTGACCTTAGTTTGGCCTACCATAACTTTTATCAAAAACTGCTCCTGCCTTTAAAAGTGTTTCACATTTACACAATGGAAACAAGAGGGCATCCTTTTCTCTCAGAGAACTTTATACTTTAAAATAAAAGAAGTCTTTTGTTTTGCTTTTCAAGCAAATCAACACAAGCAAGAAATGTAAATCGTATCTGCCCACGAAGCTTTTCACAAGCCAAAGATCAAGTCACTTAACCAAGATATTTAGGATTTTCTAATTCTAACCTCCAACCTTGGCTCAAAGTATCTATGAAATAGGACCCTTAGAGCCAGAATTCTGGAACCGAAAGGGTTCAATTAGCACCCTCCTTTTGCAGAACACAAGACTGAGAAAAATGGAAGAGACAGGGCTCTTCCTACCACAGATGAAATCAGTAGGGAGGTAGGTTTAAATGGATTCGGCTCTGTAACCCCCAATATCTCTGCAAGTAAAATCAGGAAGTCATTTAGGTTTGAAAAAACTCCAAGTAGATTTCCTGTGGGCTGAAGCATCTTAACCAACATGACACATGAGCTACCGCTATTAACCGAACATCTGTTCTGTGCCAGGAGTTCGCCGGGCACTTTGAGTGCTCTATTTTTTTATGACCTCTATCTCCAGCTCTCCAAGCTAAGGGTTATTAGCCAGGTGCTCCAGATGAGAAAAACAGGCTGGAATTAAGTGATTTCTTCCAAGCCACGGGGTTGGACAGTGACACAGCTAGACTTCAAGAACTTCTGACTCTTAGGGAAAAGAGAATGAAGGACTGGTCTACCGTGGATCCTCTATTTTCTTGGCCAAGAAACTGACAAAACCCTACAAATAATGCTTAATGGGCACTTAACTGTGATGCGCCCTCCACGTGGATTACCTAGTGTAAGCCTCCCACCTGTACTATGAGGTAGGTACAATCATAAGCCCGCTTTGCAAATGAGAAAACCCAAACACAGAGAGATGAAGCAACTGGCTCAAAAGCACACATGGAGCCGCTGACGAATAGGGGCGGTCAAAGCCAAGTCGGCCAGGCTCGAGAGCATCAAGTTAGGTCTCATTCGGCAGGCCCAGCTCGCCAAGAGCTCGAGAGGGCCCACGTTTTGCGCGCAAGGCAGAGGGCCCGGCACAGGCGCGGGACGCGGTGACTCAGTCCCCGGCTAGAAGCGGGAGGAAACTCCAGATCCCCCAGGCCAGGAGCAGTGCGCCCTAGATCCGGCCTTCCGTGTCGGCGAAGACCCGGAGCCTCAGAGTCTCCCCAGACCCACGAAGGAGGGGCTCGTGGCCACTCCGGTCCTCAGTTTCTCCATTCGGACAATTGGGCGTCGAGGCCCACACCTGGCCCTCAGCCGGCGCGGACGTCCTCCCTCTGCGCCACTCTCCGAGACGCCCGCGGGCTGAATGAACAGCGGGTGCCGGACTCGGGCAGCCCCTCGAGGCCCGCGGGCCACGCGCGTTCGCCCCTCACCTCCTTTAGGCATCGCGGCTCCAGCGGCTGCTGCGGCGGCGGCGGCGCCTCGAACTGACACCGGAACCGGAAACACCTCGGGCTCGACTTCTTCCGACCGGCTCAGTTTTCCTCAGCGCTCCGCCGCCGCCGCCGCCGCGAGGGCCGGGGACCTCAGGGAAGCCGGCGCACGGAGACTGTCCCGCGCGTCGCCTGAGTCTAAGCTCGCCTGCACGCTACCCCGGCAACAGTGCCTCCGGCCCCCCCGCCCCGGGGAGACGCGTGAGCCTGCCGGTCTCCCCGCGGAATTTGAGGGCAAAAGGCAACAGCGGCTGTAAAATTATATACAGGCAAAACTGCGGACACCTAAGGTGACGCAATCTCCGCGCGAGGTAGGGAGGGGCTCCGCGAGGACCCCAGCCGGAAGCTATCACCTGGGAAGCGGAAGCCGTCGGGAGAGAAGTGGGGGCTGACGGTGACGGGTTTTCAGGTGAGCCCTTTTCTGTATTCTCCAGTACTTTGGTAACCGCTAGGACCAGGAATCGGAGGTCTGCACTGGCCCAGAAGCGATCGGAGCGGCTGGACAGGGGTGGGTTCGGGCCTCTGGAGCGGGAGGTCAGAGTGAGTTCCCGAGAGGAGGTGGCGCCTCGCTCGTTCTGCCCAGAGAATAGGAGATTTGGGGGTTTTCTTGTTTCTAGGCACCCCCTCCTCCCTCTCTTTTCTCTGCCGAGAACGTTTTCTGTCTAAATACTGTTTGTTCTTGTAAGCCCGGTTCAGATGCCGTGGTCTCTAGGAGCCTTTCCTACTATCCCGACCCTCAGGTTGTCCCTCCCAAGCTCCGAACGCCTTTCCACTCGTTTCTTCTCCCGAGCGCTGCCACCTCTTGATCCAGGTGCCTCCTACCTGTTACCTCCCCTGGGTAACACATGGACCAGGGCTCTCGAATTTCCCTGACTCATAGCAAAGTGGTCATCCCGTATTTTTGTCTTCTCGGCCCGTGCGCGCTGGGGTAGGGTCCAGGTTCTGGCCATCTTTAGCTGCAGCGCAGGGGAGACACGTGTAAAGACCACAGATTTGGGAGTCAGGAGCCTCCCAATCAGAATCATACTCTGCCACTTCTCAGCTGTTGTGACCCGGACTTTACCTCTAGAAGTTTCATTCCTCACCTGTAAGGTCGCTAATGGAGAATTCATCAAAAGGAGCCTGGGGATGTGTGTGTGCGCGCCCGGTGCTGGGGTACTTTGTAAACTGTCAGGCACGCCACAAAAGGGAGGGACTGGTTGAGTTTGGGAGAGAGGAGTCTGCTGTGCTTCAAAATAGGAGATAATTAACCTGAATCCTCTTTGCCAGCTAGGAAATGCTATGTGGCTTGAAAAATGTTTTCTTTGGATTTGTACTGGCCTATTGTATAGGCTTTATAATGACTTTGCCTTTATGTAATGTCTTTGTTGGGTTTCAGAGACTCTTTGCAATCCAGCTAATTCACTGCCCTCATTTTACAGGCAAGACTGAGGACCTGAAGGGGAAGGTGACCTCCCAAAAGTCACAGAGTAATTGGTAGAGTTGGACAAGAACCTAAGCCTGTAACTGAAGAGACCAGAGGTCTTTCTGTTATACTTCTTGGGAAGCAGACGGTAAGGTACTTTGGCTCTATACCATCTTTTTCCCTTTTAAACCCTCGTTTTCTCAGCTCTCCCAACCATAGGCCTTCTCACACTGTATTGTAATTACCTTCTCACTGTTTCCTTGCTAGAATGTCACCTTCCCAATGACAGAAGTTGTGTCTTACTGCTTGTTCTTTGTTCCCAACATCCAGTACAGGGCCAGGCTCATAGGTGATGTTAAGGATAACGGGAAAAATCTACTAAACACATTTAATGCAGGCATGTTCCATATAATTATAATGAAATCTTCTAGATTCTAGTGTTCCCATTTTACAGATGAGGAAACAAATTTAGGGAAGGGAATGTGCACCAAAAGGGTAGCTGGTGAAGGCCTTTGGGGAGCTCAGGTTCAGAAACCAATCCATTTAATTTCTCCCCCTTCTCCAGATCTTTGCAAATTATCTTGTAGAAAAAATGCCCAAAGTGAAAAGGAGCCGGAAAGCTCCCCCAGACGGTTGGGAGTTGATCGAACCAACACTGGATGAATTGGATCAAAAGATGAGAGAAGGTAAGTAAGTGGGGGAGTTTCTAACTGGGTGAGCTGTGTCTAAGAGTCACAGGCTTCGATGTCTCCAGGGGCCAGGCAGAAATGCGGGTATCACATGGGCACAGACAGCCCCACTGTGGCCTCCAGACACTGACCTGTTTTGTTTGCTTATTAACTCAGAATATTAGGAGTTCTGGAAAATAAGATGGCACTAATGAAAAGGTCCTCAAAGACATTTTGGGGCCAACTTTGATATAAAAGTCTTAGAGAATAAAGATTGAATAGTCTACCTCTAATTACTTACTGTTCTGGTTAAGTACCTATTTAGAGTCTTACAAAATGTTTACTTGGAAAATCCTGTCCTTTTTCATGTTCACATTTTCCGTTAAGAGTTTTATCCAGACTTTTCTTGCTGGTCCCTGACACGGTTTTCACCACTTTGTTTTTGCATTATCTGCTAGTTTTCCAGAATGTACCATGTTCAGTTTCCTCAGAATGCTGTATGATCTTGAACTTGATTAATCAGTGTAGTGTCTTTTTAGAAATCTTATCTGAAGCCACGAGCATCTGTTGGCCTTATAGGATCTCAGTATGATCCCTTACTCAATTGCTTTTTTTTTTAAATGTTTTGAGAGAGAGAGAGTGCGGGGCCTGGGGGGTCAGGGCAGGGGAGAGAGAATCTTAAGCAAGTTCCACATCCAGCACAGAGCCCGATACATGGCTCCATCTCACAACCCTGAGATCATGACCTGAGCCGAAATCAAGAGTGGGACACTCAACCGACTAAGCCACCCCAGCACCCCTAAATAACTGCTTTTGTAAGGATTTTAAACTATTTGAAAATCAAGCATAAACAAATAACGGACATTTAGTTTTTTAAAGAATTAACATTTTAAAAGAATTGTTGCTGAGGTTTTGAAGTTAATCGAACATTTCTTTCGAAGTTTTTGGCATTCACCAAGTGGCAGGAATCTAGATCTAGTCTATGCTGTGATGCCCATATCTCTGGCCTCTCTTCCTACACTCACTGGGGCAGGACTCCACATCACCCACTGAAAGGCGCTTTCCACTTTGTGTGTGAACCTGTATAAAACAACGTCCAAGAATGTTCACATGGTCTTGTGAAAATGGGTCCAAAAGGGATTTTTTAAAAATGGGAGCGCTGCTTTGATTAAAAGATTGAGAAATGACAAAAGCACAGGGAGGGAGGCTCTGCTTCCAGATGCCTTATAAGCATGTTTGCCCCCCACCTTTTTAATTGAGATCTAACTGACATAAAACATTTTATGTTTTAGCTATATGTGATTTGATGTATGTATATATTATGAAATGATTGACAATAATTTAAGATCCATTACCTCACAGTTTTTTCTTTTTCTTGTGAGAACTTTTAAGGTCTACTCTTTTAGCAACTTATACACAATACAGTATTGTAAATTGTAGTCACCATTCCCCAGGATTTATTTATAACTGGAAGCTTGCACCTGTGACCCCCTTCCCCCATTTCACCCAGCACCTCCCTTGTTTCTTGAGGACTCTGATCAGATGTCCCCTTGTGCCTTCTTTGATCACCTGTATAAAATGTCAGTCCCCACTTCCCCTTCTGTTTTCTCTTCTTTTTTGTGGCCTTTACCACTTAGCCCCGCGTGCCGATCCGCCTCCCTCCCCGGGAATGCCACCCCAGAGCGGCTCTGCCTGCCCCACTGCTGTGTCTTCAGCACCCAGAGCAGGGCCTCAGCCGCAGCAGGCACGGTGTCCACTTGCTCAGTCTGCAACACCTGCCTTTTGCTTGGATCACAGAATCCTGTGTGTGGAGCTGAACTCTACATCTTAAGTAATAGCATGGCCCCAAAGTTGGAGAAATGGAGGTACAGTTTTCTTGACCACTCCTTATCTTTCTCCTCTGCTCTAAAAACTGAGTGGAGGTGGTAGACAAGGATCAACTTGTAACTGCTAACAGAAAGAGACTTGCCACTTGAAACAATCCTGTTTAAGTCATGTGGCTTATTTTTTTATCTTTTAAAATAACAGCTCTATTGAGATTGAAGTCCTATTCTGTAAAATTTGCCCTTATACAGTGTTCAGTGTAGTCGGAGTTGGGCAACCCTTACCTCCTGAAGAAACCCTGCACCCTTTGGTAGTTACCCCCTTCTCCCCAGCTCTCCCAGTTTGAGCAACCACTCGTCTACTTTCTCTGTACATCATCATCTAGTAGGGGGGCTTTGGGGACTAGTTTCTTTCACTTGGCATCATGTTTTCAAGGTTCATCCGTGTTGTAGCAGGTCATTTCTTGTTCTGGCTAAATGATTCTTCATGGTGTGGGTAGGTTTTGTTGATCTATTCATCAGCTGATGGATACCAGGATTGTTTCTACTTTTTGGCTGTTGTGAATACTGCTGCTTGCACATTCATGAGAGTTTTTGTGGGCACGTGTGTTTTCAGTTCTCTGGGCTATATACCCAGCAGGAGAACCACTAGGGCTTATGGTAACTTTAACTTCCTGGGGAAGAGCCATCTCTAAAGTCAAGAGCCTATTCTCTAGGGCGCCTGGGTGGCTCAGTTGGTTAAGCGACTGCCTTCGGCTCAGGTCATGATCCTGGAGTCCCTGGATCGAGTCCCGCATCGGGCTCC